GGGGGCAATGGACACCCCTAAAATGAAGGAAGCTGTTGTGACCCATTAAAGTGAAGCTAAAGTAATTAACCCTCCGTGTGTCGGTGACATGAAAGGACGTTTTAAAAGGAAAGAGCCACCATACTGCAGGAGAGAGAATAACTGTTGTTTTCTTTAACTACACTTGAGCTCACAGAGTTCACCCTGTGGAAAGTTACTGCTGTTTGATTGACAGCTGATTTCCCTCTCAGATGTCCAATAGCATAAGAGGAACCGCCCTCCCTCCCTGCGTCTGTGTGACGAGGCGTTCAGGTGTCGCTGGGTAAATATAGACGCTGAGATTCCTCGAATTCCTTCATGTGACCACAAGGTGACGCTGAAGGTGCAACACACACACACACGCACACATTAACACATAAAGTATGTCAGTGACACAAAATACACACTGATACAAGAACTTGTGACCGACTGCGTGTGTGCTGACCTTCACCAAACCAGTCATTAACTGTGTGTGTGTGTGTGTGTACACACAACAACAACAACAACAAGGTTGAACAAACACACATTTGTGTAAAGAGACATGAAAACAGAGTGTGTCATTAATATAAAGTTTGTTGTTTTAAACAGAAGAGGTGCTCTATCAGTGCTGTTGTAGTTATTATTAGTCACCAGGAGATGGAGATATTTTCCATTAAACCAGCAGTTCACAACCTTTTCTATCAAACTGACTGAAATGTTTTATAGATATTTCATATTATATTCAATGCACAACAGTAACAATACACAACAACTGATAAAACTGTACAATTAACACAAATATTGAACACAATTTATGATTTAGATGAATTTTGAGCTGACTATTTCCTGTGAATAATAATCAGAGATGAGTTTTGTGATATTTTTACAAACTGTTTATACAGTTCTCTCTCTGTATTATGTATTTTTTAAGTCATACAGACTTAATTGACAGATTCATTGTTTTCTTCTCATTGTTCTATCAGCTCTTTGGTTATTTCTGATGCAGGATGAGACTATATATATATATATATAATATAACTTGTGTTCAGGTCTTTAAAGTTCTTAAATAATAATATAAATTGCCAAAACAATAATTTAATTTAGTTCTCAGCTATTTTGTATGTATTGTTTATTTGTAGAAATTCTGAGACTGTGTTTACTTTTAAAGGTTTCTTGCACCCCATACAATCAAGAAGACCTCATGACCCAGTGTGAAGCTTTGGCGTCCCCCATTGAGGATCCCGACCCCCAGTTTGGGAACCACTGCATTAAACAGACTGACGTTCAACACCAGTCAGGTGGTAGAAACACTACCACTTTTGTCCACATGGGAGCGCCACAATCAACACAAAATAAAGTTTTGAATGCAGGACTTTTACTTGTAATAGAGTATTTTTTCACTGTAGTGTTGTTTCACCATTACGAGTGTTTGCACACAATAAATAATAATAATAAACACTAAATATAATCACATATATTCATTCATTGTTTTCTGTGGCTAAAAGGACCCGAGCACAGGTTGTCTTTATTCCTGCCTGAGTGGAACTTCCAGGTGTAAGCAATCACACCTCACCTGTTTCCGGCCTAATTAAGAGTTCTGTGGCGATATCGACCATCTGACTCTGACGTTGTTGTATTTGTTGTTAAAGTGTTTTAGACTTTAGTAACCACACTGCAGCTGTTTTGTGAGTTAATTATGTTCAATTAGTTCGACTGCTCCGGAAGAGAAGGACCCAGAAGACTCCAGAACAGAGAGGTGCTGGTTGGTAGCAGCTGATTCAGAGTGAGTATCCTTCTAGAGGTGTAAGAAAACATCAAAACATGTTGTATAATGTTATTTTATTTTCTGATATTGTACAGATTCACAAAAAAACAAAATTTTTGGATAACAGTGTTGTTAACTGAATCGCAATTTATCACAACGTATTGAATCTTAACCCCTGTATTGTGATATGTATACTGTAGCAACAAGAAGACCCGCTCCCCCTGTAAATAAAAACATCTCATTATAAGGTTACAAAAACACAGTAATTCTTATTTTGTGGTGATTATTCACTAATAAAAACATACCTATGAATATTATATTCCATTTCTGACAATAGATCCTCCCAAATGTTACACACTGGACCTTTAATGTTGAGACAGT